CTGTAATAGGGCCTTTCAGCTTCTCTGCTCTGGCCTGCTCCCACACTTTGGAGAGTACTTTCCTTTCAACAAATTCCTTTGTCCCTTCCTTGATTTGTATATTTTGTCCAATTCTTTGTTCAAGACACCAAGAACCTAGACAGTCCCCACCTTTAACATATTTTGGTGAACCAGCTCACAGGAAGAGGTAAGCCCAAAATTTGTATTTTATTCTTCTCTTTTCTCCTTTTCCTTTCTGCTTCATACAAGGGAATCTCTCTTTTCCTTCCCAAGCCAGGACCCTTAGTAGGCAGCTTCTAAACTTGAAAGCAACTGCAGGTTTCTGGCAGTGGCCAGTGAAACTACGGGGTTTCCATGTGGAGAAGACTGAACACCACGGCTCTGTTCACTTAAGAAACCTGTTTTTTTTTTTTTTTTTTTTTGTTGTTTTATTGTTGTTTTTCTCTTTCTTTTTTAGTGAGCCTTGAACATTGAGGGCAATTGGCTGGGGTCAGTCCTCAGTGCTACTTGGAGGCCCAGGAATAAATGGAAATAATTGCCCTGCCCCAAAGGGGGAAGAACTTCTTCTTTTTTTTTTTTTTTTTAATCTTTTCTGTGTATGGTCCCTGATCCCTACACGGGGCACAGCTTGAAGTAGACTTGCACATGTTTTAGGGACTTAAACCTTCATTTCTTATCTTAAATTCTTCCCTTACTGCACTAAACTGGCTAAGGAACAAAATGGCCCACCCAGCGTCCAGTTTTCATTACAGTTCATGGGCATTCTCATAAAGCTCATAGTATGCTCTGGAGGAGAAAAGTTGCCATGTGGCACCCACCTAAGGTCAGAGACATCTGGCATTTTAAGACTGGACCCCACAGGAGGATGTTCCATGGGTCCTGTGGACCCCAGCCACTCCAAAGAGAACGCTTTTGGGCAGAGGTTCTGAGGTCTAGTATTAACTCCCCTTAGAATTTTCTCTCACAATTGCAATGCTGCTTGGCCCCATCATTGTTTGTAATCTGAAGTTTACTGTCTAATATTAAAATCAAACTGTCTGCCAGGCATGGTGGCTCATGCCTGTAATCCTAGCACTTTGGGAGACTGAGGCGGATAGATTACCTGAGGTCAGGAGTTTGAGACCAGACTGACCAACATGGAGAAACCCCATCTCTACTAAAAATATAAAACTTAGGCATGGTGGCAGATGCCTGTAATTCCAGCTACTCGGGAGAATGAGGCAGGAGAATCTCTGGAACCCAGGAGGCAGAGGTTGCGGTGAGCCAAGATTGTGCCATTACACTCCAGCCAGGGAAACAAGACCGAAACTCCCCATCAAATAATAATAATAATAATAATAATAATAATAATAATAATAGCTTATATCAAATATTTTGTCAGATAAGTGAAAAATGTGATACATTTTATTTAGTTCATAATCGTTGGGAAATAAAGATGGTTTTAAAGGTTATTGGCAAAATACAATGTCTTCAAAATGAAAACATGTGGTCTAAGTTATGTTCAAGTATTAGATTTGCTAAATGCTTTAAGGTCACAAACTGCTTCTTTGGCTTTTGAAAATGTTTAACTTGCCTGATTTCCAGCTGGGTAAGACCTGGGGCATGTGGAGTTGGCCATGCCCTATCTATACTGGAAGCAGTCACACCTTTTCAGAACATAACTTACCAGGTTTCACATTAAAGTTAAAATTGCTAAGACTCACCATTGTAGCATGCAGTTGAGACTGCTAGAAACAGTTTTACATTTAAGTTATGCAAAAAACAGTAGAATGTGGAGTTTTATTTGTTTAAAGATTATAAAGGATTTTTGCTTCTTTAAAATTTCAGAGTCATCATTTTGGCAAAATAACTAATTACGGTAATCTGGAATTCCAAGATCAACCTTCAGTTTTAAAATTGTGTTTCCTAATGCCTGGTTTTCTGGATGGATCAGAGGGCCCCTGAAAAGATCCAGAAAAGACGTAAACAGGATTATGTGGCATATAGTATATAGGTATATAGTATTGCCAAAATAATGTTCCATCTTCTCTAGGTTTTATTTTTGTGAATAATACTAGTATATTCCAAAATTATGTGGGTTTTCTAAAATTCTAATGTCTAAGTGTATGCTACCAATCACAATAAACAGTCATTATGTTAAGTCACTGTAAACCACAGAAAGAAAAAAAAACAAAACAAATGTCTCTGTATAAAACTACTAATTCAAGTAGAACAAAATTAATTAAATACCAAGAAAATACTTTGTTAGATTTTCATGTTAAACCAGTTGATACTGAAGTTGTTTAAAGTAATTTATAACCAATGCTTGGTCCCATATTTTTGGGAAGACAATTAAATCAATGCATGTTTTCTGGTTGTATAAAAGCTTTCCTACACAGGAGGGCTGATGTTATAGCAGTAGATTATTATGCTACAGTATATTTTCACCAGGTAAAGAAAGCTTTTTATGGTTTGAATCTTCCGGAAATAACAACAAAATTCGGGACTTTGAACTTTGGGTTCATAATCTCATGACTCAGAAGGGTCCCTCCAGGCTATTGAAGCTATGCACCCATTGGAACCCTTAAGGTAAAACTAACCATGGAAATTTGTCCCAAGAGGAGGATAGCACCCTTGATGTGAAGAGCTTTTCCCAGGTTCACAGAATAAGGCTTCTGCTATCATGAACTCTTATCTTTGAATATTTTTTTCTTGCTTATGCCTCTACAAACAATAGACTGTGGGTAGATGCAGCCAGGAGGAGGGGGAATTCTGTAGCTAGACATGTTCTACAGATTGAAACTGTCTCACAGCTTCAGTGGCTGCCCCCTTTTCAATACTCCCGGATGAAAATGTGTTTCAGAATGTAGCTGGTTTTCAGTTTCAGATGTTTCTCATAACCCCAAATTATCTTCACTTTTCAATTTCCTCTGTCAAATTAATATAGGTCGGGTATTGTTATAATGGTTCACTTTCCTTTTAAACATTGTTAATTCAAGAACTGATTTTGAGAACAGGGGGACTTTAAAAATGAATAGTTTCAACTTAAGTGTATTGCTAATATTATGACTGCAGCTGATAAAAAGAAGAGAGCAGCTATAATACATGGTAGTGATTATTTTATTACTTAAACCATCCTCTTTTGAGCATAGTAAAGAGCTGTGTACTTTCTGAAGTATACTTGCTGAGAAATTATTACAGAAGAATGATAAAATTTGTGGTTTTGAACTTCACTCCTGTCTTTTTACAATGTCAAAATGATTCATATTTCCCTAGAAATGTTCAGGTGGAAAACATGCACCTGTATAAATTATATTCCTGTGGGGAAGGGATTACTGATCTTACCTAAGAGTTTATGTCAGAATTTACTCTTTTCTATTGACAGTATGGGATGAGAGAATGGAACTTAGTGTTGTGTTCATTTGCATTCCAGTCACTGAAATAATAATAGCTATATGGCATCTAGAGTAGAAAGTGTGCTTTAAAGTAAGGGCATTCTCTCAAAACTTAATAGTTTCCACTATAAAAACTAAAGATGGTTTTTCTTAGATTCACTGTTTCAGAGAACTATTATTAGTTGAGTCAAAACTTTAAATAGCTTTTGTTGTAAAATAAACAATTGGTATATGGCATTCTTCGAGAGGGATGGTCTGGGAATGGTTTATTGTGACAATGCAATCACTTTCAGGTATTAAATTTCAGGATGAAAACTATAAATCATTTGCTTTGCCACAGTGAAGTTTGACTTATTTCTGTGGCCAACATGGCTTATGGACACCAAGGACAAATGAGTCAGGATAACTTAATGGAAAAGACCTTCAGCAATAACTACATAGTTTTCATCTTTTGTAAGAACAAAAGTTTTAAATCTTCTCTACTATCAATTCTTTAGTGATATATTGGCTATGATTATTTTTCTGTTCCATGATATATATTATTTTATTATATATATTGATATATAAACTGATTAAAGTCAGGGACATATACCAAGATAATAATTGGTTATAAAAAATATATGTTCAGTTATTATCATTAAAACATGTTAAATAACTGTAGTTGTCACTTGTAGTTAATAAGGGACATACCCATAATCATATGGCAATGATATATTTTTGTTTGCTGTTATAGATGCAAATTATAGTTTGAACTTTCATACTTAATAACACCAACGATATAAATAGACATATGATTCATATTAGAATTGAATAAAACATTTATTCAATGACATTTTTAATGATATTTCAGGAAGTATTTCACATATTTTAATGTATACATGAACCACATGGTATCCCATTAAAAAAGCAAACTTTTGTTCAGTTTTTAGAAGAAGATGCTAAGTTTTTTTCATTTCCAACTTCTTTGTGATATCATTACCGCCGTTCAGCTGAACTCAGTTATGACTCAAAATTAACACCACAGCTAAAATATATGAGCCCCTTTTACAGCAGTGTTTTCCCTCTGGGAAATGGTAACTTCTTTTGCCACTGTCTTCATTATTTTCAGTTCTTTTCTTCTGAACAAGGATCTGACAATACCTCCTCAGCTTACTTGCTTGAAAGCAGAAGCAGTGGCAAAAATTATTAGTGAAAACCAGGAGACTAAAAAACCACATTTAATCTCTCTCTCTCTCTTTCTCTCTCTCTCTCTCTCCATCTCTCTTTTATTTTTATTTTTTGGAAAATACTGAGCTACCAACATTCACTGCCATTTAAAACGTTTTTCAATCATATACTGAAGAAACCAAAAGATTTCTTCAGAACCTTAGGGTGAATGGATAAAGATGCTCAATTTGGGGGCTCTTAAACAATTCAGGAATGCTGATGATTGTGCTGTTTCTCAGTTTGGTGCTATGAAACGAGGTAAAACGTACTGTTTAAAAGTGTATGTATCTATATATACATTACATATATCTACAAACATTACATGTATATGTATTTTATAATTTTATAAAAAATATATATTAATTATAATTCTTATATATAAATATAAATTTTATGTAATCCCTTTTTTTCTTGAATTAAAGGTTATATAACAGCTATCACCTGCAGTACTCACAGCAGTAGAATTCCAGATCAGCAGTTGCAAAATCAACAACAGCAGCTGTCACCTGGTTTTCAGAGAAGTTGAAATCAATTTTCGCAGGTAATTTACAGTTTGTACAAATATATAGATTGTGTTTACCAGGGTTTAACGTTTGTATAATAGTCATAAAGATAATAATATAATAAAAGGTACTCAATTTTAATACACAGTATCTTCTTCTGTGTCATGGTCTTAAAATATATTATTTAAGCTTAATTACATTTATAAAAACAAATTGAGAAAAATGTCAAAGTTGGAATTTAAAGAGGTACAGACTTACCAAAATAAAGTATATTTCTTCAACAAAATGTTATTATATTTTTCTAAAAAGTAATTTAAGACTTTTTGTTCTTCATAAATCAGGGGCCCATCAATAGTATATTTTTTCCTGTGAGTTAACTTCAATAATAAATTTGTATACCATTAAAGTAACATTTATCTTGATCTTTTAAGTTTTTATATATAATTCAGAAAACTGAGATATCTTTCAGTGTTGTAAACATTTCTCATTTTTTTTAAGGCAACAAGTTTTACATATTTATGCTTTAGATGTGCCAATTTGATTCAAGCATACAATGTGCAATAATAAAATCTAGGTAATTGGAATATTCATTATCTAAACTGTTTATAATTTATATGTGTTTGGGACATTCCAAATCTCTTCTTCTAGTTACTTTTAAATTTACTACACATTATTATTAACTGTAGTCACCCTATTGTAAATTTACTACACGTTATTATTAACTGTAGTCACCCTATTGTGCTACTGAACACTAGATCTTATTCCTTCTAGCTAATGTATTTTTGTATCTATTAACCATCCCCTTTTTATACCCTTTGCCTCCAAACTCACTACCCTTCCCAGGCTCTGGTAACTGGCATTCTACTTTCTCTCTTTATGACATCAGTTTTCTTTAGTTCCCACATATAAGTGAGAACATGCAACATTTATCTTTCTGTGCCTGTCTTATTTCACTGAAATTAATATCCTCCATTCCACCCATGTTGTTATAATTATCATGATTTCATTCTTTTATGTGACTAAATAATAATCCATTGTTTATATATATATATGTGTGTGTGTGTGTGTAACATTTTCTTTATTGATTCATTAATTGACACAAAGTTTGATTTCATATCTTGGCTATTGCAAATAGTGCTGAAATAAACATGAATGTGACAATCTCTCTCTCTCTCTCTCTCTCTCTCTCTCTCTCTCATAGATATATCCCTTTATTTTGGAAAAATACCAAGTAGTTAGATTGCTGAATTATATTGTAATTCTGTTTTCAGTTTTTTGAGGAACTTTTTTACTGTTTTCCATAGTGAATATACCAATTTACATCCCACCAGTAATGTATGAATATTCCTCCTTCTCCACCTCTTTATCACCATTTATTTTCTGTCTTTTTGTCTTTTTCTTTTTAATCCCATTTGTCTGTTTTGATTTTCATTGCCTGTGTTTTTGAGGTCTTATTCAAGAAATTTTTGCCCAGACTAATGTATTGAAACATTTTCCCTATGTTTTCTTCTAGTAGTTTCAGATCTTACATTTAAGTCATTAATACATTTTGATTTGTTCATTCATATGGTGAGAGATTGGCTACTAATTTTATTCTTCTGCATATGGTTATCTAGTTTTTTAAGCACCATTTGTTAAAAAGACTGTCCTTGCTGCAGTGTAGGTTTTTGACATTTTTGTCAAAAATGAATTAACTGTAAGTGTGTGGATTTATTTGTGGGTTATCTATTATATTCTATGTATCTGTTTTTATGCCAGTCCATGCCGATCTTAATACTATAGCATTGTAGTATAATTTAAAATCAGATAGTACTTCTTCCAGCTTTGTTCTCTTTGTTCAGAATTTTAGGTATTCCAGGTCGTTTGTGATTCAGCATACATTTAAAAAATTTTTTTTTCTATTTCTGGGAACAATGTCATTAGTACTTTAACACGTACTGTATTCAATCTGTAGACAACTTTAGATAGTATAGACATCTTAATGATATTGATTTTTCTAATTCATGATTATGAAACATCTTTCCATTTTTGCATCTTCAATTTACTGCTTTAGAGTATGTTTATTAACAAATAAATATTGTTTATGTTTATAATGTACAGCATGATATTTTGAAATAAGTGTATATTGTAGAATGGCTAAATCAAGCTAACATATGTATTTCCTCCCATATATCTTTCTGTGGGTGTATGGTGAGAACACATAAAATCTATTTTCAAGCATACAATACATGATTTATATACAGGTGGATTATCATTGTACATTGGTTAAGAACTTGATTTGTCATAAGTGACAAAAGTGGATGGTAGTACACTTACTTTGCTGTGGAAGAGGAAACTTAGTGAGTGCATAGTCAGGAGGGACTTTGTAATTTAGCAATGTTTCTTGCAGTACATTTATAGCTCACATATAGAAAACTTTCTCAATTTTTCATAAGAAAACTATAAACATTTTGAAATTATGATAAAGTGGAATTTTCAAAGCAATAAAAATACAAAGCTGGGTGTGGTCGCGTTTGTCTGTAATCCCAGCACTTTGGTAGGCCGAGAGGGGCAGATAACCAGAAGTCAGGTGTTCAAGAACAGTGTGACCAACATGGTGAAACCCCTTCTCTACTAAAAATACAAAATTTAGCTGGGCACAGTAGCACAATTATGTAATCTGAGCTACTCCAGATGCTGACGTAGGAGAATTATTTGCACCTGGATCATAGAGGTTGAAGTGAGTTGAGATTGCACCACTGTACTTCAAGATGGTGCAGTGACGGTGCACTTCAAGATGGTGGCACACTGGTGCCAGAGTGAGCCTCCACCTCAAAAACATATATAAAAATAGAAAAAAATAAAAATAGAAGTCAGATTTTTTTCTTTGACAATATCATACCAAAACATATGTCAGGAAACTAATATTTTATTCATTCAAGCTACTATAACTAATGCAAATAATTGAAAACTTACAAACATGAGCAAATATCTTAATGAATTCACATGCAAAACGTGTTTATTGTTTATCTTTCATCTCAGTGTAAGTCCATGATTACCAAAAACTTTTTCTCCTCATCTTTAAATTTAGTAATTTAATTTAGTTATTATAATTAATTAATAAAAGGTATAAAGTGAATTTCAACTTATGAAATTGTATTTGACTTATAAAGTACATTTTGCAAAATGTGTATAATTTAGTTATTAGGTAATTCTAGAACTAATTGATCTAGAGCTGTTTGAAATAAATCACTATAGCTTCTCCATTGTGTGCCATTAGTGCTCACATAAATTATAAACACTTTATATGTATCTGTTGAATCAGTGAGTGAATGAATCAATATATTTTTGTCCATGAATAAATTGAAGCTTGCAAAAGGTCACCTAGCAGTGTCCTTTCAGTCTTAAGTATTTATTATGTTACTAAATATGAATTTCCTTTTAGTTTCAAATTTGCAATAATTTTCATGGTTTTTTAAATACTAGTTTAGGGAATATAAAATTTTCATTTTTCCTCCATGCAAATGTGCTATTTCAAACTTGAGATTAAAAAAATTAAATAGCTGGATATCTAAGATTCTGGTATAATTGAGTAAATATATACTATACTAATTTGTAAAAACTGTTTTTGATATTATCAATTGTTTCTAAAATTTTTAATGTTTATTATGGGTACATGTGATGTTTTGATATAAACATATAATGTGCAATATCAAGGTAATTGGGCTATACCACACCTCAAGTCTTTATCATTTCTTTGCTTTTGTTTCATTTTACTTATTACTTTGAGTTTAATCACTAAACAATTTTGTCAGTAACACTGAAATAGGCAAAATTATCTATGATGGTGATATGGTTGCTCCCATAATTATCATGTGTCATGAGAGGGACCTGGTGGGAAGTAACTGAATAATGGAGGGGTGTGTGTGTGTGTGTGTGTCTGCTGTTCTTGTAAAAGTGAATAAGTCTTGCGAGATTTGATGCTTTTATAAAGTGGATGCACATGCTCTCTTGTTTGCCACCACATAAGACATCCCTTTTCTCTTCCTTAATATTCTGCTATGATTGTGAGGCCTTCTCGGGAACATGGAACTGTAAGTCCATTAAATCTCTTTCCTTCATAAATTACCCAGTCATGGGTATATCTTTATTACCAGTATGAAAACAGACTAATACAGATGGACTTTTTTTATAAATAAAATATAATTTGAAAGTCAGAGAGCTTTTATAATCTTTGTTAAAAAATTTACATTGGAGTATCTAATGAGTTGACCTTTACTTATAAGAATGTAGGTACATTGGGCTGGGCATAGTGGCACACACCTGTAATCCCAGCACTTTGGCAGGTCAAGCAGGTAGATCACCTGAGGTCAAGAGTTTGAGACCATACTGACTAACATGGTGAAACCCATCACTACTAAATAGAAAAAAAAAAATTAGCTAAGTGTGGTGGTGCATGCCTGTGATCCCAGCTACTCAGGAGGCTGAGGCAAGAATTGCTTGAATCCGGGAGGCAGAGGTTGCAATACGCTGAGATCGTGCCATTGCACTCCAGCCTGGGCAACAAGAGCAAAACACCATCTCTCTCTCTCCCCTCTCTCTCTCTCTCTCTCTCTCTCTCTCTCTGTATATCTATATATAAAATATATAAAAGTACATATATATATATATAAAGGTACACACACACACACACATATATATATATATATAAAGGTACATATATATATATAAAGGTATACACACAGACACACATAGATGTGTGTGTGCATGTGAATATATATATATATATATATATATATATATATATATATAGAGAGAGAGAGAGAGAGAGAGAGAGAGAGAGTTCCAGACCAGCCTAACACACACATACTCACATATATATGTGTGTATGTGTGTATGTTTATTACAAGTAGTTTAGAAATTCAAATTGACTTTAACTATTAAATTTGTTTTTATGACAAGTCATCAAAATTGACATCAACCAAAAACATGATAGAATACTTTAAGTGTACAGTTAGTTGTCTTCTATGTTAGGAGAGGTTAGTCCCTTTCCTGAATA